TGTATTACTATAGCTATCAAAATAAAATATAAGCTAGGTACTTACCAAGACTTTCAATTTTTGCCACTTTTTCTTACACTAAAAAGCTATTTTCAATCTAAAATTTGATATTTTCTTGAAATTATTCTGAGCTATTTTCGTTGAACTACTTTACGCAACAGTCTTTGGAAGAATGTGCAACTTACTGACTACAAATATGACTAGATAATCTCATAAAACAAAAAAATTCTCTCCGGGTCAAATGACCCGTTGTGGTAGATATCGGTATACAACAAGGATTACTCAGAATAAACAAAACAAAACAAAAAAAAAAAACTTTTTATAACTGTACATTAATTACTTAGAAAAAGTCATGAAGTCAAATGTGCAAACGCAATAAAATTATACGTGCATTTTCAATGCAAAAGTTCAAAATGGGTCATTTGACCCGTTATGGTATGTTTAGTGTTAAATTGTGACCATCCATTGTGCATACCAAGTTATTATTAATTCATTTTGCTCGTTGATTCTCTACACAGACTTGGGGTACGGGCAGTGGGTCTGTAGTTGAGACTAACAGACCTGGCGTCGTATTGTGACGGAAGGCCACGCTGGGTCCTTCGGCTATCGGCGACGACGAGGGTTGTTTATGTGAAACAGATGAGGGAAAGTTAGAGATGGCAAGCAGCCCGACGTTGCATTGCCTTAAGAATAAGGACCTTGTTCCTAGAGAATCTGGCCACGGAGTGGGGAAGACAGCGATGCTTTTTGGTAAGAGGACTGTAAATGACCGCACGCCGCACGGCACTTACCTCAGAATCTCTGAGGAATACAGATCTCATTTAAAAATCGAGGCATCAATACAAAGTTTCTAACATACATATCCATAAAAACAATATTAAACGCAATAACTTTTTTGTACGCGAAGAAAAACTAATATAGGTCCGTCGGGATAACAACCCAAGACTCCTTTCTAATACGTCTACTTTATAGCGAACGGACGGAAGAGAATCCGTTCACGACCATGGTGATGGTGAGCCATGGTCCCTTCTTAGATTTAACGTAGTTCACAAATTCACCGTTCTCATAACGTAGAGGGCAGCAGAAAATCCCTGACTTTTTACACTATCGGTATTTCAGAACATGAGAGTCTCATGATGAGACACGAAGTTCCATAAGATGATAGGCCTATCCTATACCTAGTCGGTGCTTCTACCATGCTCGTACCATTTGGTATTGGAAATTACTGGAATTTATGCCGAATAAATATTCGGTTTAACATTTGTTTCAGTACCTGAAATAAATTTATCAAGTGGTAGAAGCCCTTTTCTTACGTCACTTTTTCCCCTAGCGGAGCCGAGTTTGCTCATGAGGGAACATGCTTTACTCGGGGAACAAAGAAATGTTGTATTACCTTAGTAACTAAAAGAAATAAGTTATTAATTGTATTTCGGAAATTGATGCGAACAGTCGTATATTCTGTTAATTATTCATAATATTAATATTGTATTCTAGTTCATTTTGTTACAATTGACTCCTACCATGGGAGTTTTCGAACCTGTGTATACGACTATGCTCCGTACGCATGGAGTGAATACTAGTGAATATCAACGAATACCTCGTCAGTGTTTTGACGTTTGACAAAATCACGATAAGCGCAGATAAGCGGGTTGCCTATGCGTGATATGTCGAGACGTTTATGTCTTAAAAAAGTCGATATAAGAAAAATTGTAAAACTCAGGGACATCATGGACTCATTTCTGTCCTATGGTAACAGGGAAAGTACGAGGATAGTATTAGAAGAGCGTTTAAAGGAGGCAGTCTGTTTCGGTGATATAGAGGCAGTTCAACAACTACTTAACATAGGTGTTGATGTTAATGCACAAAATTTTCATAATGGATGGTAACACCTTTTTCATTATTCCTTGTACTGTGTCTATAAATATATAATTATTGTAAATTGTAAACTGTGTTTATTCCAGTATTTCTACTCTCCTCAGAACAATTCAGTAATATATAATTCTCTTTTAAGGACCCCTTTACATTGGGCATGCAAAAAAGGTTATTTAAATATAGCTGCTCTGCTTTTAAAGAATGGAGCAGATAAGAATATAAAGTCTGAAAAAGGATTAACTCCAACATCTACATGTACCAATCCACAGATTCTGCAACTTCTGAGTGCAACTGATTCTCAGTTGCTTTTAAATGATTCAACAACACATAATGTTGTACCAAAATACTTGAAAAATGATTTTGTACAAGGAGTTGTAGATTTGGGAATTCATACAGTAAACAATAATAGTTTATACCCTGATGGTGAGACATTTATTACAGTTAACTTTGATGTATTTTATAAGTATTATACTAATACATTTTATATTTTAGAATTAGTATTAAAGATTCGAATCGTAGATGCACCTGACCCAGATTTCATAGAAGTTGAATTACCTCGAAGTGAGCTGACATACCACGCATTGGTTCAAATATGTTGCCAAGAATTAAATGTTGACCCCACTCATATTGTTAAACTAAGAAAACTACCCAATACGAAAATAAGAAAAGACAAGGATATTCAACGACTTCAGAATTTTCAAGAAATTGAAATTGTTACTAACGCTATTAACTCGTATTCGCTATTAAATGGTATTCCAAATACCATTCCGATAGTGCCAGGAAATGGATACCAAAGTATTTCTAAAAAAGATCAAACTATTTTATATTAATCGTTAATGTTAGATTGTTTTTGCTTTTCTCACTTACTTAAAAATCGAGAATTTAACATTCCTTAGAAGTACAATATACATAATTGAGAAGGTATTGCTTAAATTGTAATAATTAAAAAGATTAGATACATATAATAAAAGTGCAGATAATAGTAAATAGAAAAATAATTTTTTAACTTTATTTATTAGATTTAATGAAGTAATACAAAAATGATTACATTCTTTTATTTATCAGCACTACTCATTCTTAATCTTCCCCTTTTCTTTTTTCACAGTGACTTCTCCTTCTGGAGTAACAGTTACCATATTACCACCATAGAGAGTACTTAATTCACCTGTCACATCACAATATGCTTTTGGTCTCTTGGGTTGAACTGCTGGTATTTTAATAGAATTTTTGCTTCCTAAAGATAAAAATTAAATGAGTGTATAGGAATACAAAAGTATAATTTTATTCAAAACTTTAAGTGAATACAAGAAAACTTACTTAATGTTGTATAGATAGGAAGAGCAACGCTTCTGGTTGTTTTAATACGAAGAGAACGAATGTTTGTCCAACCCCCTGGATAATGCTTAGATAAGTGATTACACACTGCCAACACATTTTCTAAAATTTCTTCCACATTCATGTATGTATTTCCAATCTGAACAATATGAGTATCACCATAGGAATGCAACTGCATCGAAGTCTTTTTTAAAGCATATTCTATTTCATGCTTTAGATCTTTACTTTGCATTCTGATAGATGTTGGTAACTTTCGTTTCTTATAAAATTGTTTCCCTAACAAATGGGATAAATGACCAGCAATTTTTCCATCTACCAAAAAATGATCATAGCTACCAACAAGTTTTCTCTTTAATTCATATTGATCATACTCTGTTTTCACTTGATTCAACGGTATTATATGTTTTATGTTTGTACAACCATGTTTACCTAATAATTCTTTATAATGTTCTACAGTGGGCTCATAATCTTTTCTTCTACCTCTTTGCAAATCACAGACAAAAAGTGCAATGTCATCATCTGGTATAAGTATTGAATATGGTAATAATCTGAAAAAGAAATTCTTGGCTACAATTACCTTTGATTATAACAGAACTATTCATTACACTCTTGTAAATACATCATTCTGAAGAATATAATCATGGTTCCTCATAAGGATCCATTGGTAATTAAAACAAATATAATCATCTGTGAACCACACATATCATAAAAATGCATGACTGAATAAAAATATTTCTCATTTAAATTATTAGAAAAATCCTCGGAATATACTTATAGATTTCTACTTACATCCTCATGTGTCTCCTTGGTGATTTTGGTACTCTTATGCAAGTAACTTGAATAAACACCGGATGAGACTCCCCTTCAAACAAAGCATTTTTAGTTTTTAGTTGTTCCTCAGTCAGATGAAAGATAGCACTAATGCACTGTAGTATATGCTCCTTCGATAATTCATTCAAGTTTAAACTATCTGTACTTTGTTTATTGTTATTTACTTTCCTCCGTTTTCGCAATGTCAATCTCGGATTAATAGTCTTTTCAATTATATTTTCAGTTGAAACGTTATTTTTGTTACTCTCTGTGGAGTCGTTAAGCAAACGTTTTCGTTTTAATCCATGCCTTGTCATTTTATCGTTTTTTTCGTTCGGTGATGCTAGATCTGCGTTGTTGTCCACGTGGTTCTTAGATACTGTAAAACTGACATTTTCGAATGTACGAATATTTTTTTTCTGAAGTGTGTTCGTAACAGCCACCTTTTCAACGATATATTCACTTAATTTCATATTTTTTTCTTTTCTTTTAATTTTCTTCGAATCCTTAATTATCTGGGTAGCCTCAACATTTCTACTCACATTTTGTTTTGTTCTCTTATTCAGTGTCGCCGATTTCAAACCTAATTTGCCTATTTTTTCTTTCACATTTTTATGACATAACAAGTTTGCAGAAGATCCACGCGTTTTAATGTTATTAGAAGATTTTATCATTTTGCGTAAACGTGCTTGTTTCACAGCGTATTCCTCAAGACGGAAACGGAAATAGTCAGGGGGACGACAGTCACGACACTCCCGTGTTACGAATCGAACAGTGATTGTAGCGTCACTACAGTTAAAAAGCGGAAGTGGTGAACTAAACTGCAATATGGCGGGTGTTTCAAATAAAAATTGAATATTTAAAAAGTTAGTCTAGCCAAAATTTTCTCACGATTTCTCATATTGTCTAAATTCATAGAGAAAATATGGGAAATGTTTGTTTCTTTCATCAAAAAATCTATAATCTGGAAAATGTTTGTTTTTTTCATATTTTCTCAATGAAATCAGACAATATGAGAAATCATGAGAAATGAAAAAACTTATTGTATAAGGAAATTCATAAAAGGTAAAAGAAATAATTGTATACAATATATATGTGGTAATAAATAAATTTATTCATGATTAAAAACAAAAAAAAAAGAAGAAAAGAAACATTTCTGCGCTGGGATGAACATTTATAATCCTGTTCTGCAAAGTGTTTCCAACAAACTAGTCGCTTGACCAATTCTTTATGGCTTAAAGAAAGAAGTTTTTGATTTTTGACCGCAACAACCCATTTTTGTGCTTCATTTTCCTTTTGAGGAAAATGATGCGAAGGATTTTTAGATTTAGATGGACACTGAGGAACAACACACGTGGACTGATGTTGAATTCAATGCATATTGTATCAATTTTTTATCTAATATTAATAATCTAAGATTGTTAAACCATATTAACATAAAAGAGTTACTTGCTTGGAAATTTGTATACAATAATCAATAAGTTTTTCACTTTCTTCACACTATACAAACTCCACATAAGACAACATGTAGATACACGAATGGCATCGTGGGCGACATGGGCGGCCCATGATGGGCCACGATTCGTGGCGTCGTATACACTGCTTGAATCAGGCAGCCTGAATCAGGCGTATACGTGGTACGCCATATTGCAGTTTAGTTCACCACTTCCGCTAGATAACTGTGGTGGCGCTACAAACACTGTACCAATCGGTTCCATAAGAATGTCCAGGTCCAGGCTCACGGCTCATGCTGAGCCGCTCAGCCTGAGCTCAGACTCACTCTGGCTCACCACCGTGGACCAGTGATGCCAGAATCGTGGAACTTGGTTCCACCACCACG